AACTCAAATACTGCACTACAAAAAAAATATATATATATATATATAAAAACATATATACAGTATGTGTATATATATATATATATTTTTTTTTTTTTTGCTTTTAAACTCTTCAGAACATCTTATTAGACAGGTTTCTATTGTGTGCGCATTACTGAACGGTACAATCATTTTTTGCTTGATTTTATGAACTGGGGAACATATTGAAATTATTGGCTGTGGTAACAGAGCTTAGCTTGTTTTGAATGCTGCATCCGGTCCATTTGATAAAGTTTATGGATGCAAAGCTGACTGAGGTTGTCAGTCCCAAATATCTCATTTAGTGTTCCACCAAAGAAAGAAACAAAGTCACAAAGGTTTTGAACAACATAAGGGTGAGTAAACTATCTGAATTTTTGGTGAACCATCCCTTTCAATAGGAATGTTCCTACATTAAGAGTAGCATTGTATAAACATCTTGATACCTATGAACAAAAGACCAGATGTGTGAATAATTACTGTATTAGTAAAGAAAATGATTCGGTCAAAGATAGAAAGTTATCCATGTGATCCAATTAGAGGCTTTTATAAATAATAATTGTCTTAACATTAGAATATTCCACCAAGAAAGAACTTTTTTTCTGTTCTGAATAAAGTTCAAGTCTAGACATCAGAGCAATGACGACATTAATTAACAGGAAATATTCTCACTCCCTCAGCTCGCATAAACTCTCCAACCAAACTTAATTTCGGTTGAAGATGATTAATAATTTGATCATATTCTCAGGTCTACCAGCAGTAATTTTCTATCAAACTTAAATGTCAGATGGAAGCCTGGGTCAAATGCAGTGCCATATGGTTCTCGACAGAGGTGTGAGCTGACACATAAATGAGAAGCATTTAAAAGGACATGCTTTAAAAAAAAATTCCACCAAATCAGGGTTATGAAACAATGAAAAATTAATGTAGATCAAATTTACATATGCTACTTTTTGAAATTAGCTCAAACCACAGCAGAGTGTTAATGAAAACATTATGCACTACAGTCAGCATAGCTCAGATTATTTAGAACAACACTTAAATTAGCTTATAAATATTCAATGTCCTGATATTTTACAGGTGCAGTAACCTTGAGCATCAGCAACCAACAGACCACCTAACATCATTTTCATTAATTCATTATTAATCGAGCAGTTGACTCACTCCATGAGAGCTGAAACTAAACTTATGCTCTATGGGGGCTCTATGTTGTGATAGCAACATTTCTAGATAACACCCTCTTTTGACTAATAACTTTAACAAAGCCACTGCTCAGACTTTTAGGAAAAAATTATGACAATTTTATATTAAAAAAAAAATATATAATTAGAACCGATTTTAACTAATTATATGATACATAATTATTTTTTAAATATATTCAACTTATTAAATACACAAAATATTAAGAAAATACTTATAGTGGTATCAATAATAACAATAATAATAATAATAATAATAATAATAATGTGTGTTGTTTAAAAAAATCATACCGTGAAAATTTTCTGTCAATACATAATGAGTTAATTCTTAAAGGTTCAGAGCGCTTCCGCTGTCCTTACACAACATGAAGAAAGATGCTTAAAAACGCACGGCTCCGCGCTTCAGCTGCCCTGCTGTTTCTCAGTTGACTGCCACCACCGTGTGGAGAGGGAACGAAATAACTCAAAATGCTCATTCACACTTCAAAAACACAAAAATCAGTCAAGAAATAAGATCATTTCAAGAGACGGACTGAAACATATCTGTATTCAGGCACGTAACAGTGTGCGCAAACGCGTAATGGCGCAGCAAACAGTGATTTATCATTAGGCTAGTGGATTTCTGATGTCAGTTCTCCCTAATGATGCATCTCTGATGAATGCTTTGACATCTTTTGATTGATAAGGATCCTTAAACACACATATACAATTTAATTACATCATGAATTGCGCCAGGATGTAATTTGGGCACTTAGAGTTTAGCACAGAAGTGTTTGCGCTGCCTGAGTGAGAATAAAGGATCACTGCGACTTTATCGCTTTAAAAAATATTGAATGCACTCACATGTGTCCATGGATTAAATTAAATGCTATGCTAGAACATAAAGCTATCCAACAAGTTTGATATGACAGATGGATAAGCACTTTTACGCACGGGAGTTGGACGCTCACCTGACTGCGAGGTGCACAGGGGAACAATCACAGCAGTAAGGATGAGGACGACGATGATGTCAGATCGCATTTTGATCATATGAAGAGGCTGCATATCCATTTCTTCACATGTCCACTCCAAAGTCCCGTTGGTGAGCTGTCAAATGTCTTTCAGCCTGTGCGTCTTTGCGCAGCTGTTCACATAGAGCGCATGGTCTGAAGTCGCGCCTTGGTGTATGTCTGCAAGTAAAACTGGATCACTTGATTATATGACAGAGGTGAAAGTGACTTATTCCTTGACTAAATGTGACTGCGTTGGGACTGTCATCACTCTGCGCTGAATTCCGGACCGAGTTACGGTCTCCGTGCCCGGGCGCGCGTCTTGAGCGCTTGAACACCGCCCACCTGAGCACTGATTGGACAGAATAGTGGATTAATTAAGGTGAAGCACGCCCCCAAACACAGAACTGTTATTATGTGGGGATTTAATTATTATACTACAGAATCCAGTCATAGTTCGTAAGGAATGAATATTTAATTCCAATCTTTAAGTTTCATACAATTTCCACGTAATTTTCCAACCAAGAAAAGTTCTGTTTGATTTTTTTTTCTTTCTTTCTTTTATCAAATAGCATCAACTTTGCAAATCTTAATGCTTTTTTAAAGATAGTTATTGAACATGTAAAATGACAATAACTGGTATTCTACGAAGAACGATGTGGCCTGCATATCATGGTAGAAGAATATGGTAATCATTCAGTACCGTGGTATTAACACATTATCATAGTTTGTAAGGGCTGAGGTTTATCGTATCTACTTTAGCCTTTGAAAACAGAGATTTCTAATATATATTTTAACATATGCAAGTATTCCTTCAATATGCTTTTCTACACATGCGCAAGCTAGACAAAACATGTAGAACCATTTTTTTAAACAATAGCGCCATCTGGTGCAAATATAAAAACATAAACACAATGGCTGTGTCCAAAACCTGTCTGGAATAGCATACTTGTGCAGTAGGGTGAATTCTGGATTGCAATATACCTGAAATCACCCTATACTGCACCTACAGTGCATAATATGCTATTTTTTTTGTATGCATTGAACACCAAAATGTGCAATATACAACCAAGAAGGATATAGTGAATACAGGATTGATAATGTGATTAACATTACCTTTCACGTTTCCAGTGTTAGTGAACCACACACAATAAAAGATTATTTTTTTTACATCTCATTAGCTGAATATTATTTGACTGCAAAGATTTAGTTTTTACACAAAATTAGACTATTTAAAATATGAAATAGAGAAAAATAAAATATAATATATAGAACATCTTAAAATAGAATATATTAAATATTATTTCTGCAATGGTTAATAGATACAATACTACTGATTATAAAATGTTCTATTCTATAATATGTAGTTCTATAAACTATTTTGTAAAAACAGTACGTCATATTCAGTGTATACTGCACAGCATGATATGCAGTGCATTGGTATTCAAACACAGCCTTAAAACTCAAATACAGACGACTTTTAAAATCTAAACAGATTTTAATACACTAGGTATCATAAACTTGCTGACTTTGTAAATGGTTAAAAAGAAAAACTGACTTTAAAGTCCCTCCAAACACAACAAACTCACAAAAAAATATGTGCCTTGATGCTAGGTGATGCATGATAACTGAAAACAACGTGTTCTATAATCGTCTGACTGGATGAAATCAAAGTCCGAAGCTAAGAAATCGGAGTCTGTGCCCATGCTTTTCTGTGAAATCGGTCAACTTTGATCTGCAGACTGACTCTGACTTTCAGCATCCAGTGTCAACTCCTCCAGACTGCAAATCTGGTCAAAAATCATGTAGTGCATTCCAGTCTTGAGTGAGCTGCAAGCCTAGACAGCAGTTTGGGCATCATAGGCAAATTTGCAATATTTAATATCCAAAATGACTAGATAGGAAGCTCATTAGGTTTTGAGACACAGCCAATGATAGCAGACTCACATTTAGCTCCAATCAGGCAGTATGAGAGTATTCCTTTCTAAAAAAAAGAGGCATAGTAAGCTGCCTACCAAGGTCATGTTTTTAGGCATCATAGGCAAATTATCATTATATAATGCCCAAGAATGTGTTTTGGTAAGAAGCTCATTAAATTCCGAGACAAAGCCAACGTTAACCTACTAAAGACAAAGCTCCAATTCTATACCCTTTTCCAATCATTGCCCTACTGCAATGATTGCCCTGCCCTGCAGACTACCTAGCATTTCTGTGCAAATTCACATTATACAATACTTAAAAATTCTGTCTAGGTAAGCAGCTCACTAGACTGAAACAAAGCCAATGATAACATATGCACAACGCTCTTTAAAAATTATAAAAGCAAACTGTTAAAGTTTACACACAAAATTACTCCAAATCTTTACTTAGTGGTAGAATTCCTTTTTAATATACTTTACAAATGGATATACACCTCTAAGCAGAAAAAGAAATCAAATGAAATAAAGTAAATCCTCACTAATTGAACAGGCTTTATGGCTGAGCAGTTCAGTAGCCCAGTGCATGCTACCAAATCAGACATGTATTAAAATCCCAGTCTCCCACGCTCAAACACACACACACACACTCTCACTTTCACACAAACACAGTACAAGCATACGGGTATTCTTGTGTACATGCACACATCTGTAAAGCTGAACGTGTATACACTGACAAAAATGCATTCGAGAGCAAGAGCGAACCTCACAAAACCCGTTCAGAACATGTCCAGGTTATATTCGACCCCAAAATTAAAAGTAATAAGAAATAATATTTAGCTTTTCTTTTTTTTTTTTTTATTATTTGATGATAATTAAACATAATTTCCACAAAATTCTCACTGCCTTAACGCAGAAAAAGATTATATAATATTTAAAATTGGGGAAAACATCCTTAATTTATCATAAAAAATGATGTCTCAACTCAAAATCTTTATCAGTACCTCTTCATTACATGCAAAACAGAATTTCTTGTTTTTACCCTTTGATTTTGGGGTAAAATGTTGGGAAGCTTATTTCTGCCACCGGACGATAATAATAGTAATAATAATAATAATAATAATAATAAAGGGAATTTGACATCTCAAAATTCAAACTTTTTCTCGCAATTCTGAGTTTACGTATTACAATTCTGATAGTTTTTCTCTCAATTCTAAGAAAAAAAGAACTGAGATGTTAACTCGCAATTGTGAGATATAAACTCAATTCTGAGAATATAAATACAAATTATGAGATTTAAACTCGCAACTGCGAGAACAAAAGTCAGAATTGTGAGAATAAAAGTTGCAATTATCTTTTTTTATTTTTTATTCAGTGGCAAAAAAAAAATAGAATTGCAAGATATAAACTCAGAATTCTGGGGGTGGGGGGGGTGGTCAGAACTGCAAGATATAAACTTGAAATTGCGAGAAAGTAAGTCAGAATTCCTAGTTTATATCTCGTAATTCAGACTTTTCCCCTCAGAATTTGGACTTTCTCTCAATTCTGAGTTCATATTTTTTTTTGCAGTTAAAAGGTCACAATTACCTTTTTTCTTTTTCTTTTTAATTCCGTGGCAGAAATGGGCTTCCATATAAATGTGACCCGGACATTCATAAGATTCACACACAAACATCTCACAGATTTGAACTGAAACGGTTTCATAACTCACTCAGAGGCACCCACAGATATTCTGATATTTGCGCATGTGCACATGTGATACGGAGTAGTCTGACAACTGCAGTGACTTTACATGAAGGGAGGTGCCGAGTTACAAGTAATGGCTCTAAAGAATCCGCTTGGAAATCCACCGACGTATTCTGCGGGACATCAGTGCTATATGTTTTTGCGATTCCTCATAGGTGGACTCCTCCCCCAGAACGAATGAACCAATGGAACTTTGGAATTTCTATGACATCACTCATGAACAAATTAATCTCAGTGTTTGTAGGTTGTCAAGTTTCGAGAAGAAGCAGGCTGCAGAAGTTGGCTTAGAACGTATGTCCAGTTATATGTGGTAAAAAACACAGAGGCACTAGTATAGGAGGAGACATCAGAGAGGTTATACGTCCTCATTTTCATGATCACCATCTTTGTACTTCTTTTTTCCTTTTCTTTTTTTTTGTGT